TCTCAATTTCTGTGTCTTGCGAAGAACTAAATGTCGTAAAATAGTTTCATCCAGGGGAAATCTTTCAACTATAAAAGTCAAGATTATCCAATTCGTTGCTCATTCAGAAGCAAAAGAGTCATGAGATACGAGATCAATTATCCCTGAGCCAGTATAGTTAAAAATCAATTGATGTGAGGAAAGAGGGAAGTGATACTGGCCAAATTGTACTGTTGCACTGTGTGCATGTACAAATATGTAACAACAAATCCCATCAATATGTACAACTATAATGCACCAACAAAAAATGTGGAAAAAAAATTAACCGATTTCCAAGAAGGGTAGATTGGATACAAGGATTTACTCCTACTCCTTTCTAATATAAAAGTAAAGGGATTTGATTTTACTCTTTTCAAGGTATAAAGCTGCTGAGACAGTAAGAATATGAGGAAAGAATTGTTTCAGAACTTGGAAGGTAAACAGAACTGAATCCTGAAATGAGAGTGGACAGAGCCAAGACCAACCTAATTTTTACCACAGAATCCTCAAAACACTCTGGTGGCATTACTGGCAGTAAGGGGCAGTGGAGGGGAATAATTAAAATATGGTGAATATTTTGAGTGCTCTTGAAGGGGCAGCTAGAACCCCCAGAGCAGGCTTTTCCTCCATAAAGCTGAGCAGTCGCTCTTTTCCCATCTTAACAGAGTTTGAAGATACTGGACAGTTTAAAATACAGACTTCTGGGTGAGGAACTGGGCACAATTTGGGGATGGGGCACTGTGATGAGAATGGAGGACTCAGGGAACACAGGCATGCTGTGATATTCCCAACAGCCCCCTCCTCCAACTTGGTCCCCAGAAAGACAACACCCAGGCCCAGACCCTGCAGGAATTGCAAGATCTTCTCTGTGTGATCCAAAGAGCTAAAGAGGAAACATCCTAGAGAAACTGACATGGGGTAGGCACATAGCTCTGTGGTAGAGGGCTTGCCTAGCATGCATGAGGCCCTGGGTTCATGGTCTCAAGAATCAGCACTGAGAAAGAAAGAGAGAGAGAGAAAGAGAGACAGAGAGAGAGAGAGAGAGAGAGAGAGAGAGAGAGGGAAAGGGAGGGAGAGAGAGAGAGAGAAAGGAAGAAAGGAAGGAAGGAAGGAAGAAAGAAAGAGAGAGAGAGAAAGGAAGGAAGGAAGGAAAGAAAAGAAAAGAAAAGAAAAAGATTGATAGAGAAACTGACATTGGTGGCTCCTCAGGTAAAGGGTTATGAAGAGCACCTTGAGTGAAGTTGTTACAAACTGGCCCCATGTGCACCCACAAGGTTCCAGTTAGCCTTGCTTTTCCGCATTCTTGAATATAACAGACAAGGAAGAGCCACCTGACATCTGAGGAAAGAGTCCAAAACAATAAAACAAACATCAACTTGCACAAAAGGATACAATCCTTAGAAAATCTCTAAGACAAATGGTCCAGTTTCTTCAACAAATTACATGGAAAACAAGGAGAGAGACAGCAGACCCTGTATAGATTAAGAGACTTCAAACACATAATGACCAACAGTTGCACTGTATGAACCTTATTTGAGTACTGATTTGAAAAAATCCAACTGTTTTGGTTTGTTTAAATATAAAATCATCAGTAATTTAAATATTAGTTGGATATTCAATATTAAGGAACTGTTGTTAATTGTTGGTTTTAGGTATGACATATTATGGTTATGTTTAAGAGTTCTTATATGTTGTATGTTATATGTTAGTTCTTATATGTTATATACACGGAAATATTTATGGATGAAATGATATGATGGTTGAGATTTGCTTCAAGACAATCTAGGAGTGGATTGATTAAATAATTGTGGCCATAGGATGAGGGAACATGAAAATCTTTTATATTATTCTATGTTTGAATTTTTCCACAATGGAGAAAAACTATCATAAGAATCCTCAGAGAAGACAATGACCCTAAGACTTCTGACCCTAAGACAGAACCAAAATAACATTAAGAAAGGAAACATTCAGAGTATTTTAGAAAGCTCCTATAAATAAAAAACTAATAACAGAAATAATATAGTCACTAAAGAGCTGGGGGAAAAAAATTGACAAATCCCAAGGAGTACAGCTAAATGTTATTAGAAATGAAAATAAAGAAAATATTTTAAAAGTTGGAGGACCAGTCCAGAAGGTCCAAAATCTGAATAATGGTTCCAGGAGAGAAAAGAAAAATAAGAGGAAAGAATTCATTAACATAATAATTTAAGAAAAGTTCCCCAAACTGAAGACCATGGATTTCTAAAAGGACACATCAACTGCTCACACAAAAAATGAAAACAGGCCCACAGCACGGCTCCACAAGGTCACTGTGAAACTGCGCAACACTGCAACAAAGAGATTCAGCAAGTTTCCAGAAAAAATAAAGCTCCAAACTGGATTATATATAAAAGATTAGGAATCAGAAGTATTTGGAATCTCACAACAGAAAAATCTCAAAGGCAATGGAGCAATATCTTCAAACTTCTGAGGGAAAATTATCACCAATACAGAGTTCTATATCTAGCCAAACTGCCAATCAAAGACAAAGATAGATAAATCTTAAATTTGGTCTTTTCGTGTTATCCCATAACTCATGGTTTTTTACTATCCTCTCTGCATGATCAACTTTATTTTCAAGGTTATATATTTTGTCTTCTTTGCCTGAGGCTCTGTCTTCCAAGTGGTCTAGTCTGGTGGTAATGTTTTCCATTGAATTTTTAATTTGGTTTATTGATTTCTTCATTTCAAGGAATAGAGATACGTTGGATTAGGTAGAGGGGAGTGAAGGAGGGGAGGGGTAGAGAGGTAGGAAGGATGGTAAAATGACTTTGACATTATTACCCTATGTACATATATGACTACACGACTGGTGATTCTTCATTATGTACAACCAGAAGAATGAAAAATTATACTCCAATTATGTGTGATGTGTCAAAATGCATTTTACTGTCATTTATAAGTAATTAGAACAAAATTTTTTTTAAAAAAAAAAAGCTTCTTCATTTGATTCAACTCCACTAATCTATTTTTGATTTGTTATCTGTGTTTTTGATATCATTCCTTTGAAATCACTGCCAAGACCACAGTCATAGAGTTTCCCCTCTTGTTTTTTTTTTCCCCCCAGGACTTTTATAGCCTTGGTTCTTATTTTTTTAAGTCTTTAGTTCATTTCAAGCTTTATTTTTCTGTAAGACATAAAATCTGGGTCCAATTTCATCATTATGCATGTGAATATTCTGTTGTCCCAACTCTACTGGGAGTTGTTCGCTTGGTCTAATATTGATCCTTGGTGAAGATCAGTTGACTATATATGGGATTTAGTTCTGGGCTCGTATTCTGTTCCACCAATTTGTATGCCTTTTTTTTTTTATGTCAGTACCATATTATTTCAATTCCTGTAATTTTATATCTTAAAAATAAAGAAAAGAGATGCCTCCAAAAAAAAAAAAAAAAAAAAAAAAAAAAAAAAGATAAAAATAAAAAAAAAACATTTTTCAGACATGAAACTCAAAAACTTTATTCCCATTCATGTTTTCACAGCAAGGAAATAAAACTAGAAAGGGGAAGAAATGAAATACAGGAAACAAGGGTTCTACCACAGAAGAGGAGTGAAGGGAATCCCCAGAAAGGTGACAAAGAGAGATTCCTATTGCAAGTTACTCCCTATGCCTCAGTTCCCTATCTGTGAAATGGGGAACTGTCGATAGTATGATACCTACCTTGTAGAGCTGTCAGGATGCAGTATAAAGCAAGAGCTGCAAGAGTTGTTATCCCCATCAAGTAATTGACTTTTTATACTTTAACATATAACTTGAAACATTACAATGACTTTTTAAAAAGAAAGAAAGAAATCAATGTAATACACATTTATGAACTCAATGAATTTCTACCTTTGGAATGACTGAAAGAAGTCACAGAACCATAGGGCTTTGGAGATTGGCAGGGTTCTGAGATCTTATCTTGTACAATTTCCTTGTCTTAAAGAGAAAGAAAGGGAAGCTCAGAGAGGCTAAGTCATTTGCTTAAGAGTACACAGTCACTTAGAACAGGAGTTGGGACCAAATGTCTCATGTCGATGCACTGAAAATCATTAAGTGTAACTACCCAACTATGCCTGCAGCATCCTCAGAGTTTCACATATACCCAAAAAAGAAAATAATAATATGTCATATTACTCTTAATCCTGGTACTTGGCAACACAAACACACACAATCTGTAGGGTTGGTAGACACTGTAGTCTCTTTCCAAGAAAATGATGCTACTAGTAGAAAGACATGACAATGAGAACCAAACAGAGCAAGGTCTGTGAAGCCTTAGTGAAGAGCTGGGGAACAGGCAGGGCCAGGAGGACGCATGTGCTCCTTGCCTCACACAGGCAAGGTGCCCTGACACTCCCTGGAGGTGTGACGGCTCTGCAGGCTGGGGGAGACTTTTCCTGATATGAATTCTATGATCTGTCTTAATCATGTTCCAACTGACAACATTTGCAGAAAATCCCATTCAACAGTTGGAGATGAAGTTATTCAAAAAGAAAATTGCCATTTTCTTATCACTGAATCTCAGAGAAAGGGTACAACTCATTTCTCATCTCTGCTTCTTGCACATTTATTACAAACACCTCTGTAATTGCCTTTGGCGATAGTACATGCTCCATGGCACTCGAAATACCAAAGTGGTGTCTGACTGAGTTAAATATGTTAATATTTTGCCCATTTATGTGATATGAAAAGAGATAAGAAGAGTACAAGAAAAACTACTATTTTCAAATGTTTTAATCTTTTTTTTAAAAGGCTATTTCAATTTTTTTTTTAATTAATAAAAAGGTTTTCCTTCCTTTGGAAAGTCAGTCTGACGATAAATAAAAGTCTTATTGGTCACTTAGCCAAGTTAGACATAAATAAATATGAATTATTTAGAATTATTTCCAATTTCTTCTACGTAGTAACATAAGTATACAGAAAAGTTCTAAAAATGGAAAGTTCTGTCACGCCAATACTCACAGAAAAAGAAGGATTCCAGTGTTGGCCAAGGCAAAGGCGAGTCCCAAAATCCCACTGCCCATGATGGCGTTGCTCAGGTTAAAGACGGACATGCCCAAGGAGGTTGTTCCTGGGATCTGAACAAAGAAACACACATTCCCACTAAGTCAGTCGGTCTCCAGGAAAGCCCATCAGGCCAAAGCTTTTAAAACACTACTAGGAACCAGCATGGAAATCCTTTCTGAGTTGAGCTAGTTATTTTTTTTAAATGGGTTTCAGGAGAAATTACATAGGATATGTGAGGAATATCCTAGTGTACAGACAACTCTGTTTTTGGTACCATGCTATATGAATTAAAACAACTGTCCCAATTTATGTGATTAAAAAATAAGTACACTTTATTATAATGACACTTACATATTCATCACATTTCTTTTTTTCCAAATGGCTGTTTGTGAGACTTCTTCTACTTTCACGGTCAGAAATAAACTTGCTGTAAAGACATGCATAATATATTTAACCTTATGATAATGATTTCAAGCTTAACATCAAGACTAAAAATTTACTGCTTACCAAAACATATTACATATGAAAACTTATCATCTGGTTGCCTAAAAATGTATTGCCCTATTCGACACCCACTATTTTTTTGTTGTTTGTTTGTTTTACCAGAATTACTTGCCTACATTTTTGTTTTACCAAATAAATGCTGAGTGCTCCAAAGTAGGTACCTTGCCTCATTTATTTTTATATCTCTCACTCTACCTGGTACCAAAAAATACCTGTAACAGATGCTCATTTTGAGATGAAATGAAACACAACTCTATGTTAAAACAGCTATGTATTTTGAATCATTTTCATAATAAATGACAATATTACATACAATGTAAGTTAATTATTTATGTAGATTTTCCTTTAAGTGGAAAATTAGATAACAAGAAAGACTACTATAAACCTGGCATTTTAAAGAATACTAGAGGCAACCTTTCTTCTGAGTTCATTCATACTCTAGGAGTCCAAGAGTTACTAAATAGAAATTCCCTCTCCCTTGCAGAAACGAAAACTGTTTCATAAATGGAGATTGCTCAGAAAACTTGACCATCACTTGACCCAGTTATCCCACTCCTTGGAATATACCTAAAGGACTTAAAATCAGCATATTACAGTGATGCAGCCACATCAATGTTTATTAGAGCTCAATTCACAACAGCTAAGCTATGGAACCAACCTAGGTGCCCTTCAATCGATGAATAGATAATAAAAATGTGTGTATATACACAATGGAATATTACTCAGCCATAAATAAAAATGAAATTATGGCATTTGCTGGTAAATGGGTAGAACTGGAGACTATTGTGCTCAGTGAAATAAGCCAACCCCAATAAACTAAAGGCCAAGTGTTCTCTGATATGTGGGATGCTAACACACAATAAGGCAGGGGTGAGGAAGAACAGAAATACTTTGGATTATACAAAGGGAAAAGAAGGGAAGGGGGGATGGGAATAGAAAGACAGTAGAATAAATCAGACACTACTTTCCTATGTTCTTATATGAATACATGAACAATGTAACTCCCCATCATGTACAACCATATGAATGGGAAGTTATACTCCATGTATTATATGATATGTTAAAATACATTCTACTGTCATGTATAACTAAAAAGAACAAAAATTAAAAAAAAAAAAACTGTCTCACCATCAAACATTCTTCTAGAACCTGCCATATGCAAGTCACAGGAGGAGGCGATGGGGGTGATCTGGGGCTATGTAATTAGTGGTGCAGGCACTATAAAGTCTAATTCCTATAGCACTCAGAAAGTTACAGCAGGGGAGGCAGGGCTCATGGTCCACACTTTAGGGGTAAAGCTAGGGCTTTGAGAAAGCATACGGGATTCAGAACTTAAGTTCAAATCCTTACCAGGTCTGGGGGCCTGGGCATGCCCCACCCTGTCTGCTCAGGGTGAAATGGGAGTGACATGATGACACTGCCCTACAGCACTATTGGGAGAATTCACTGAGAGTGCACATATAAAACATGGGTCCAGCACCTAGCAGCGCATGAGAGGGACAGAGGTTAGTCACCCCTCTCCACAGTGTGGGAGGGGCCTGAGTTGGAATGGGATACATACAAATATATAGTAGTAAGAATTCAGGGCTGGAGGGGCTGGGGATGTGGCTCAAGCGGTGGCGCGCTTGCCTGGTATGCGTGCGGTCTGGGTTCGATCCTCAGCATCACATACAAAGATGTTGTGTCCACCAAAAACTAAAAAAATATATATTAAAAAAAAAATTCTCTCTCTCTCTCTTAAAAAAAAAAAAAAATTCAGGGCCGGGGTTGTGGCTCAGTGGTGGAGCGCTTGCCTCACATGCGTGGGGCCCTGGGTTTGATCCTCAGCACCATATAAAAAAAAATAAACAAATAAAAAACATTGTGTCCACATACAACTAAAAAATTCAAAATGCTCTAAGAACCATTAGATTCAATGAATGCATTCAGAGTTGATATCAGAACTTGATGGCCTAAATTTCTAATTTTTAAAAAAATCTCTAGTTAAAAAAATAATTTTGTTAAAGGAGGTAAACCACTTCATGTATTCTCAAGACACATTAAGGCTGCTTTTTGGTCCTTCTAGGTGTGGAGATCAATTATCTGACCATGGCTAGAACTAATCACAGTGAATTGTTCATTAATAAGTTTGAAACCACCTAAGCTGAACTATTAAAGAAGCATGTATTTTGAAACTGTGCATTATATTTCCAAACACTTTTTGAGTCATGTTGTACTTCACAACAATAAGGCATTTTTTAAAAAATGAATCATATGTTACACTGATGTTGATTTTACTCATCTCCCTTCTTCATCTTTAATCCAAGAGATCTGGTTCTCCCTGGCATTACTTCTCCAAGTTTATACTATTTTGCCAGAACAAGCCAAAGACCAGAAAAAAATATATACTACAAACTCACTCTGAAGCCATCATGTGTATAAACTGCACAATCCGCAGACCCTGCCAGTCACTGTGAAGGACCACAGTGAAAACCTGGTCTCCAGACCAGACAAGGAGTTCATGCTCCACTTGAAATAAGACCGTAGCAGCTAACACCAGTACAGAAATGTTGGGTTGAGCAAAATGAAGATGAGATAAGGAATCCAGAGAAGGAAAAGCAAGTATTGGTGGGGGGATTAGCCAGGGGAAACTTAAAGGCATAAACCTGAGAAATAGTGTTGCTTGTTTTTAACAACAGCATGGCATCATGGCATTTTTGAACTCTGACAGCTGTATAGCATTGCTGCTAAGGACTGGTTTGGCCTTTCCTTTGTCCTTAATATTCTAAATCTTTTCACAGAATTGAGATTTACAGATCTGTCTGCAGAGGGGCAGGGAAAAGCAGCCTTCCCTTCCAGACTGGCAGCCCAAAGAAATGTGGGTTCTGGACTTTCCAAAATGGAACTGACTCATATTTAAGTCCTGTTGTTCCATAAAGACTGAATGTAATCATGCTAATTTGAATGACCAGAACTCAAGTCTACCAAATCTTTACTTAACAAGTCCCCCATCTGCCTTTCTTGGGGAAGAAACTTGTTTTCCAAAGAGAATTTCCATTATTTTCAAATTAAGGGAAAAGCCTGAGCATTTTTTTTTTCAAATAAACCCATCAATGGACCATTTTGGCAGATCTCAGTACCAGGCCTGGCCAACACTCCTCAGAGTCGATGGCAGAGGACGGGTGGGCAGAGAAGAAAAGGATGTGGGCAACCTGACATGGGGGAGGGAACATTAAATAGGGTCAAACATTGTGCAACTAGAGGAGCTGAAGACTAAGGTCCCTGCCTGGCCTCCAGCAATTTCCTGTGGAACTGCAGGAGATGAAACTGATTTACAGAGCTGTTCTAAGGCACAACCATTAAGGAATACATTAAAGCCTGTTGTTTGCTGAGTGACTCCCCAGCTCTGCCTCTGTTGGTGGGTCCACTTTCTGCAGTAAGACTTAATAGATTTTCCCAAAAAATCTCCACTGGCTTCCCCACTGAATAAGCTTCAGGTACAAATTCCTCACCATGTCATTTCAAGTGCTGCTTAATTTGATTTTGCCTCAGTGTTCAGATCTTAGGTCCCCCTGCAATCAGAGTATTCTTGCAAGTGTGGGTGGAGGCAAGACAGGGCATTCCGAGGACAGAGAATGAAAAACAAGGTGGCAGCAGGAATCCCTCTCCCCAGAGGGGCCCTTAGTCCTCCCAATAAGTCCCCTCCTGCAAGTGAAAACCCTTAGCGATCACAAGTCTTCCTACACTCTGGTTTGAATTGAGTTTTCTCACTCCAATCTACTTACTGCTTTACTCATCCTGAATCCATAGTGATTATATAGTGCACCCTGTGCCTTTCAGTTCCTTCTGTATGCCTCCACCCCCACACTGGCAATTCCCAGGAATATAAACTGAGTGTGAACTGTCTACTTAGGAATTAGGAAGTAGTTTAAGCTGCAGGAAAATTTAGCTAAAGAAGAATATCTTATTCTCTTTGTGGTGTTTCAACTTTTTCTTCCCTTTAGCTTTTCATAATAGTGCTGGGGATTGACCCCAGGGCCTCATGCATACTAGGCAGGTGCTCTGCCACCCAGCTACATCCCCAGCCTTTTTTCAATTTTACTTTGAAATAGATTCTTGCTAAGTTGCCCAGGCTGGTCTTGAACTTGTGACTCTCCTGCCTCAGCCCCATCAACTAGGTAGAATTTTAAAAATATTTAAAGCTTTTAAATCTTTGTGTTCCTATAAACTTTTTTAAAAATGGATAAAAACCAACCTTTTTTTGTAGTGGAAAATTCCATTCAAAATATCTAGGTCAAGCAGCTCATCACAAGTTTCTGTTATCTTATCATTTTAAAAACACAATTGTTTGTTAAAAAAGCACTGACCTCACAATGAAATTGACTTAAAATTTTTCCTTATTAACTTAAAATGTGCCATGGGATAAAATGTCTTTGACATGTGATCTTAGGATGATGAAAGTAAAGAGTTTGCACTGGGTCAGTCTGTTCGCATAAAGCAGAATTTGATCAACCATTAGGTAGCCAATTGCTCTGTGAAAACAAAACAAAACCCTACAACGGGTGATTTGGTGACCCCTAGTTGGAAAAAAAAAATCTTTAACCCTGCAATGGGTGATTTGGTGACCCCTAGTTTAAAAAAAAAAAAATCTTTAGAAGGATGTAAGTATAAGTAGTGAGAAGAGAAGCAAGCAACATAAAAGCACTTATGTAAAACTAAAAATAAATCAACCACCACAACAATCCAGTTAAGGATGAGTTGTACAATGGAAAGATAATCTTCCTGTTTTAATCTCCATTGCTCAGGTTCTTACTAGATTATAGTGCTTCATTTGAGGATTCAGAACACAAAAGAGACAAGAGAGAGTTGAGTGGCTCAGCTTAAATGACCTTTCCTCAAGCAAGGAAAAAGGGATCAGAAAAATGAAGAGAAAGAATTAATGAAATAGCAGAAGCGTTTAAAGAGAAGATTGAGAAGCAAGAAAGCCTTGGTTGGTGAACGAACCCCACTAAACATGGAGAAAAGAGACTTTAATTGTAACAGGAAAGACAGAAGCAAGGGAAGAATATTTTGACATGAAAACTGAATATGGGAAGAAGTTATGGAATCTTCTTCCCTTAAGTATACAAAATATATTAGGAAAAAAGAAGAGAGAACTTTTCAAGCTTTTCAAGGGTCCTCTTCGGTGACTAAAAATAAAAAAAAAAGTCACTACATAAACTCCAAAAAATATATAAAGACCAAAAAAGGTTGATTTAGGGTGTGATGACAGGAGTTACCTCAAGTTCTTTTAAGAACAAATCTTAATGAAAGACTTTGTTAAATAACACCAGGTTCATAACAATGATTATCCACAGATAGAAATGAGAACAGTAGCAGATAAGTATGGAAATATTTGAAGAGTATTCTGGATACACTTAGGATAATCTACAAATATTTCAACAAATTTAAGAGAGCAATAACCAGCAATCATCCAAAACCTAAAGCAATATTGTTGCTCTTTGGGGTGGAGAAAAAAGGAGTCCTTGCCAAAGAAAGAGGGCTGCAGCTTTATTGAGACAGACTTTTCTCATACTAAGAGGCTTACTATTGCCAGACACAGTGCCAAGTACTTTAGGTGGATTTTCTCATCTATTTTCATTAATTACATGTGGTTGGTACTGTTTTCGTGCTATTTTAGAGAAATTAAATAACTTGACCAAAGTTACATTGCTAATTACTAAAACTGTTGTGCCAGAATTTGAACCTAAGCAGGCTGATTACAGAGCCTAAGTTCTTAACCTAAAATAGTACTCATTACACATTCCCCAACAATTCCATTATTTCTGTCTTACAGGGATGGGCCTGAGCTCAGAGTGTAAGATCACATAGATCTATGACAGAGCCAGGATTCCATATAGGTCTAATTCCACAGCCATCTACTTCACCCCTCCACCCCCCCACACACACCCTTCATTCAAAAAGTAATTATTTGGAATGTCCCCGCTGTGTCTAGTATAATGATCAGTACAAGGAAGAAAGAGATGACTGAGACAGTCCCTCTCAAGAGGCTCACATCTGGAGGGAGCCTAAAGCTTGCTACTCAGAAGTACGGTCCATAGACCAGCAGTTCGGGAATCACCTGGGAGCTTGCCAGGAGTCATGATCTCAGGCCCCAACCCAGCCCTATTGAATCAGCGTCTGCGTTTTAACAAGGTTTCTAAATGTTCCATATGCACATCAAACTATCTATAGCACTGATCTAGTAGACATTTTGAAAGCTTTGTCATTACAGGTAGAGATTTCTAGGATTAAAACCCCAAAATTAGGGCATGAAATAAAATAAAATAAAATAAAAACATTGAACTGAAATAACTGTAGATATTTTAATGCTCAAATGGCTCTCTCTTGGTTTTCACTCCCCCCCCCCCCACCCCTGGGGAATCAAACCCAGGACCTCGTGTATGCCAGAGAAGCACTCTACAGTCCCAGTCCATTTTATTTTTTATTTTGAGACAGGATCTAAATTGCTCAGACTGGCCTTGAATTTGTGATCCTCCTGCTTCAGCCTCCTGAGTTGCTGAGATTATAGGTGTGCACCACCCTGCTGGGCTTCTACTACATCATCATCATCATTATCATCATCATCATCATCATCATTAATTTGGTAGCAGGGATTGAACCCTCTCTAAATTGCTGAGGCTGGTCTCAAACTTGCCATCCTTCTGCCTCAGCCTCCCAAACCTCTAGGATCATAGAGCTCTACTCTATAATAACAGAGTAGAGCATGCCTGGCTCTACTCTATTATTAACTAAACTTAAAAATAATTCTTATTGTGAATTGTAATGCATTCTGCTGTCATATATAAAGAAAAAATATAAATTAAAAAAAGAAACTGAAAAAAATAATAATAATTCTTATTGTATCCCCGTGAGGAGTTTGCAGGCAAAGCCATTAGCTAGATGCCAGCTAATCTGGGTTCAGCATTGTTTTCAACATTTTCTCTAGCATCTTAAAAAGAGTCACTATTACCTGGCAGTTCACTATTTGGGAAGGGGTAGGTTTTTTAGGTTCATATAATTGGTCCTACTTTCTTCCCACAAATGTGAGAAAGCTACAAAAGGAGTGAAAAGTATTCAGGTATAGCTTTTGCAGAAACCATAGATTACTAGAATATGCCAGCAATAAGCCAGGTCACCCATCAAGGGCCTTAAGATTGGCAGGGTTTTTTGTTTTTTTTTATTATGTTTTGTTACCTTTATTAGCTTCAGTGTTATCGTATGCTATTTTAAATTTAATTATCTTAGAGCCAGAAAAAAAAATAAGATTTGTGAACTATGTCAGTGAAGGAAGGGAAATAAAATGAGGAAAGAAAGAAAAGCATCAGAATGCATTGGAAACAGTGGAACCAAAGTCTACAAAACCAGTGGTCAGCACCCCACAGCTCTGAACCAGCTCACAGGCCGAGTCATAGTCTACGGGGAAGTGAGTTCATGTGGGCAAAGGGCCCAAGTCTCGGATGAGGATGGGTATTTTTTTTTTTCACCTACTGCAAATGGAAATCACCTAAAACTTTAATAGTTTGAGTAAGTAAAACTTTAAAAAATCAAGTTCAGATTCTAAACTGAATGTTATAAATGATGTCGAGGCTATGTTGCTATGAGAATGAAGATTTTTTAAAAACCAAAATGTCCCGCTTGTGACTGTTCAGTGAAGGTCAGCAGTGACTACAGAACACTCCAGGAGTAAAGGGCACAAAATGGCACGGAATCATTAACCTAGCTTTTCAATCAACACCCAAGTACAACCATACGCAGAGGGAAGAGCAGAAAGACACAGACCTAGACAGCTCTGTATGTGCCCATGAAAAAGTTATTTTATTTCTCTGAGCCTCGGCTTCCTTATTTGTAAACTGAATTTTAAAATTTTCCTCATTTGCAGAAGACAACTCGCCTTGCATCACAGTTGTAAGAGTATATGGTATCATGTAAAATACCTGGCATTCAAGAATTGGCACCTAGTATGACTCAAAAAAAAATGAAAGTAAGTAAACTTGAGTCCAATAGTAACAATCATCATCTAACACAATAAATAATACTTACATGATTATTAAGGAAAAGGGCCTGAGTTGAGGACTTAATATTCATTTTAGAGAGGAAAAATGAAAATTCTAAGTGTTCTAAGTGACAGCTAATTCCTTTGGTGGGCTTTCAGTTACTCACTAAATGAGAACACAGAACAGACTACCAGAAAGATTTTTATAATGATATCTGGTTAATTTACAAAATGCTCTTATCTCCCCCTACCCCAATTTCCTGCTGACCTTACCAAAGTGACTTATTGGTGTTCTAATAAATAATCTGATACATACCACTCTCTCTTCTGCTAGACTTTCAGAAGGCTAAGCCACTAACTCCCAAGCCGGACCACTTCCTGCTAAGGATCCACATAAACCAGCTAAAAAATCAGTAAGTCAGAAAATGTCTCAAATCATTTAAAAGACATACTGTTTGTTCTGCTCTTATAATTAAGAGACCCAAGCGTTGGGAGGACTCACCCAAGGGCACATCTACTGGTGGGAGCTTCCAAGCCAGCCTTCTTTCCCCTCCTGCCCCTTTATTTTTCTTTCTCTTTATGTACCATTTCTCTACAATACACTCTCATAATGGCAAATGGGCACAAGTATTTTTATTATCATTTAAAATCCACACTATAAATGGTGCTCATAATGACGACATAATTCTAGTTTTAACACAGGATCACTGGCAAATGCAACGTTGACCACTTCTTGATTCAAATGTGTACCAATGAGTGTAGTACATATTCAGATATGGGATGCAGTGAAATTCCAACAGTCTGTCTAATTCATCAGCACAGAGCTTTTGAAAGTTTGGGCTGGTTGGGGTCCAATGTATTTATACATTTTTATTAGATTCAATTGAAAGATTTGAAAAGATGAATAAATTACTTTCCTATTTGCTTCATCTGCTATTGCAGACTATGCCCAACAGATGTCACATCAGAAATTCAAATTGCATCTTCAAATGGAGAATAACTTTAGTAATGAATAATTCAAACGAATAACGGAAAACCAAAATAATTTTTAAAAGCCATTTCTTTCACTGAATTGAAAATATTAGTGGAAAAATACTCACCTATTTATTTGACCATTTTCTACTTCGGTGAAATCATTGGAATCATTGCTAATGTTATCATCCTCGGGCACTGTCATGTTTTGCAACTCAGTTAATTCGAGTCCACTTTTGAAATGCATCATGTTTAGAAGTTATTTGTAGTCAAAACAATTAGTCCAAATTTCTCGTTTTGAGTGTATGTAGTAGCAGATAGCAGCAAATATATATGTGTGATACCCCTGAAATATAGCAAAATTAAAAAAGACTTAATCATGTGAAAAACACCACTGATGAAAAATGAACTATTATAAGTAAACAGTAAATTTACTAATAATGCAACTTTTACATTTTGCTAGTAGAATGCATTAAGGCAAATCTTTGCACATCAAAACATAGAAGCCTACCTGTAAAGTTTATGCCTCTCATAAATTCCCCTTTATTTTTAACTGTAAAATGAGTCATATCCTATAACCTTTATGTTCACATTTAGAGGAATGCCTTGTCAGCTCCAGGCAATATAGATACTCTTTTATGAAATTGTGTGTTTAAAATGAAACCGAGTCAGTTATTTTAATGTGTCAGATCACAGGGCACATAATATAACTGGGGTGCAGGCTGCACAGGCACAGAGCACCCTGATGTAGCAATTCCAGTTAAATAAAAATGCAAATCCTCATTCAAGTGGCATCAACAAAGATTGACAGACAACTCAACCTGGTGGCCAACCAAGCAAAAGACAGATATTGTTTTGAAATTTAGCAAATAGTTTATCCATCAACTGCAAGAGATTAAATCAATCTCTTCAGTGAAATCACTCCAATGTCAGGGAATTAAGGAATTAAAAACTCATACTCAGGGGATTTTGGCTAGTCCACCTGCTACTCTATTTCCTCATCAGAAATGAAAGACTATCAGAACTCACATTTTATCCTACACGGATGATTGTGGATTAGATTTCTGAGAGGTCACCAATGAAATATCCAGGAGAGGAAGAAAGAGTTTTGGGGCACCGCATCACAAGTCAGAAAGAAGGTGGCCAGAGAGGTGAATACCAATAAACACTAGGGAGCCTCACTGGGATTCTCAGTGACATAATGGGGACCCACGAATGAGGCAGAATGTCAAAAGGTATTTTGGTTTTTCATACTTCCAAATGGCAAACACCTTGAACAACAAAATATTTTGTCTGATTCTGAATTCCGTAAGATGACTCTAACTTACGCCCATCTACACATCCTAGTATATCCCAGCAAGCATTTTACTCATTGATAATATTTTAAGGACCCATAAAAGTACCTTAGAATGATACTTTTCAGGTGTCCCTTCTTCTCTTTCCATATCCAGGCCAAATATTCCTTTTCCTTTACATGGCCTCCTATCTAGAACGACTTCCCTGGTTTCAGGGTCCTTTAAATTTTCACAACATACTTTCTAATCCCTCACGTTGCAGGAACCTCTTCCTTTTACAGGGCAGGGCCACTCCTGGAAGTCAGGAAGCCAGGACAGAGAAATCTGAACCCTGCTCCTCCTGGCCTGAAGCTGACTGATCTGGCTACAGTACTAGCCTGGCTCTAACTGCTTCTAGTGCCTTCACACAGCACCAATGGTCCCCACCATCTTTACTCAGCAAAAGCTGAAATTCTTTAAACCCCATTCTCACTTCTTGGCCCCCTTTGATGAAAGCTGTTCAGAAGGGCTAACCCAGGTAATTTCTAGGACTCTTGCCAAACTGATTCTGCTTGCATGACTACCTCAAAGGCCACTGAAGGGATGCTACAGGTCTAACAGAAAGCTAATGCAGGCTTGGAGTTTCCAATCTGGGTTAAGGAGTCTTTTTCTCTCTTCAAACTGGAAGGAAGTAGGACACAAGACAAAAATTTTCTGAGGTGAAGAGACGTTGATTAATAATAGATTTGGAGACTACTGTTTGAATTTAAGCTTTCTTTTTCTTCCTTCCCAGTACTGGGGATTTAACCCAGGGGCACTATACTACTAAAATACATTCCAGCTCCCTGTCCCCCACCTTTTTTTGTGGTGCTGGGGATGGAACCCAGGGCTTTGTGCATGTGAGGCAAGCGCTCTACCAACTGAGCTATATTCCCAGCCCTTGTTTTTTATTTTGAGACAGGGTCTCACTAAGTTGCCAAAGTTGGCCTTGAACTTGCGATAGTCCTGCTTCAGACCCATAAGTGAAATTACAGGCATGTGCCTCTGTGCCCAGAATTGAATTTAAACTTTCATATCAAATATATGTGTTTGTGTGTAGTATATAAACAGCACACATGTAACTAATTACTTAAAGAAATGAGCTAAAGACAAAAGACTACAGAAAACCTGGCCAATAAAATCAGGTCAATATTAGACAAATGTCAGTAGGAACTAATCATATGGAATAAATTTTGCTATAAAATAATCTATATGAAATCTAACTTGTTCTGGAATATGAAAAGAAAAACAAAGTTAGTGACACCTATCACCATGTCTGAGGCTACACTTGGGAAACACTATCCATTCAATGTATTTATTGAGTGCTAAGTGATGGAATGGTTCAAAAAATTTGAAAAGTATCATATTCAGGCATCTGGAGGAGCTTTGTGGAAAAGTAACTTTGGACTGAACATTGAAAAAAATTGTTTTCTAAGAGCAATATAGGCTCACTCGAGAATCTTTAGAACAATATCATAAAAGAAATCCTATTCCCTAAAAATGGGCCACTGTTGGATTTTAATGCATTTCCTCTCCACCTTTTCTTCCCCACTTTTTTCTCCTTCTCAATTTATCCACCTCTACAACACCCCACCATTTATTTATTCGTTTGTTTGTTTATTTATTTATTTATTTTTGGCACCAAGGATTGAATCCTGGGGTATTTAACCATTGAGCTACATCCCCAGCATTTTTCTATTTTTTATTTTGAGACGGGAGCTTGCTAAGTTGCTTAGGGCCTTGCTAAGTTGCTGAGGCTGGCTGAACCCATGATCCTCCTACCTCAGCCTCCCAAGCAGCTGTGATTACAGGCGCCACTGCACCTCCCTCCACCCCCCTTTTAAATTTAACATTGTGGATTTTAGATTGTTTTCAATCTACTTTCTTCATGGAATGACATCTTATAAGCATTTTGATGAATAGAAGTATGTTTAAAAAAAACATTAGTTCTTGCTGGGTGCGGTGGTGCACGCCTGAAATCCTAGCGGCTCAGAAGGCTGAGGCAGGAGGATGGAAAGTTCAAAGCCAGCCTCAGCAACAGTAAGGTGGTAAGCAACTCAGTGAGACCCTGTCTCTAAATAAAATACAAAATAGGGCTGGGGATGTAGCTCAGTGGCTGAGTGCTCCTGAGTTCAATCCCCAGTACAACTACCCTCCCCACAAAAAATATATTAGTTCTTTATTAATAAACAAATAGGTCTTTGTAAAAAATGGTTTTGCAAATGAAATAAAACAGGTAAAAAGAAAAAAAGTCACCTGTTAAATCAGCAAGAAGAGATGATCACTGGATACGTACTGCTGTATGGCATTCCAAGGTTCCTCTATGCGCATAGATCTGCTGCCTGGCACACTGGAGACACTCAGTAAGTATCTGTTAAATGAAAGAATGAGTATAAATTAAAAACATATAAATTTACAAAGATGGAAATCATGTCAATCATTAATCTTTTAAAATATATATGTATTTTTTTCACTTGACAAGATACCATTTTCTATCCTGAGTTCTGTCAGTAAACCAAGTCTACACTATTACTACATATGCTTGGTTAACTGATTGACTGTGCCAGAAATGGGCATCTGACCCACTATCGCTGGACAGACTGCTTGGTGGAAAGAAGACTGACAGGTGGAGATGGGGCCTGAGCCTAGACTTCAACCCAGAGAGACAGAAAGTACAGGTTGAATTTAAAAAACAAAGAACTACATTTTCACTGAAAGATAAGAAACAATCATCAAACTATACAATTAATTAAAAGGCATGCTGGGGTCATCGTGTGAAAATCCTGGCGTTAACCTAATCATAACGACTATCTCTCAACATTTATAATAGGTTACAAATTACAATTCACTTAGCACAGAACACTTCTGATCCGTACCACAATCTTGTAAGATACTTAAGGTAAGCATGATTATCCAGGTACAGTTACTGGTACACTTTACAATGGTACTAATGTTAAATACATAAATTTACTCTCTATGTGGAATTATATACCCAAGGAAGGAACAAATACAAATTTGTCTTGCTTTAAGTCACTTAACGCCTGTTGAAGCAAGCACGGCATCCCATATAAAAGGTGGTATGCCAAAAAAATGTTTGCATGATAGAGATCAAATTACATGGCAGAACAAAGACTATGTCCACAAAGGTTTCAGAGACATACATACACACACACATGACACACATGCATGGGTGCATGAAGGAAGGAAAACAGGAAGGTAGAAAAGGAGGAAAAATAAATAGGGCCTGGAGAAGTCAGGTAAGGCTTTCTAAAGAGACAGGACTTGAACTGTGTGTAAACACAGTTAAGATTAGACTGGAGGTGGTGAAGACATCACTTACACTGGAAACAGTACTAATATACCAACTGCTGATGGTACTGTGTGGTGGGAATGTGTTGTGGGAATGGTAATATGTGGTGGGATGGACAACTCAGTTGTTTCCACCTTTTTCTAGTAGAGTTCACAACGTGTAGGAAGAAGTAAACTCCATTTCCCACACCCTCTTACAGCCAGGGATCTAGCAGTGATTAGATTTCACCATCAGAGAGTGGTGGTGGCAGGAGAAAGCATCCATTTGCTGGAACAACTCTAGCAGGTATAGCAAGTAGGTGGCACTAGAGTCAACAGCTGTAGTCCTGATTCCTCATTGTCAGATCTGGCCTGAGTGATGTGTTCCTGGAGCATGCAATGGTAACAGTGGCTTCCTAGTTTATGACTTCCTGATATAGGTACAATTAGCAGTTGACCTTAGTCAGCCAGCTGAATGGTGCAGTTATGGTAATTATTCTTAGAGATCCAGCCTAGCGCCTCCTCTGTCTGCAATTTTATAGGTTCTTAATTCCTCATAATAAACTTTTTTGGTTTATCATAGAAAAATCTCAGTTAAAACCTGACTGCGGCTAAAACCTGACTGATATCTTTAATTTTATCCTTCTTTTTATTTATTTATTTATTTACTTACTTACTTACTTACTTATTTTTTGGTACTAGGGATTGGAACACAGGGTCTTATACATGCTAAGCACATACTTTACCCCTGAATTACTCTCCTAACCTCTCTTTTAAAATTTGTATGGGAAATTTTAAATATATACAAAAGTAGACTAGTATAATGAGCGACCATTTGCCAATTTCAAAATTTTCAATTCAGGGCAGTCTGGCTGCATTTTTATCCCCACCCACCATCACCTGGAATTTTTCAGCATTATCTTTAAAAGGTAAGCCTGTTATTTTCAACAATACCACCATATTACTCTCAAACCTAGAAATAACAAGCTGTGCGCAATGATACATGCCTGTAAGCCCAGTGGAGGCTGAGGCAGGAGGATCATAAGTTCAAAGCCAGCCTTAGCAACTTAGAGAGGCCTCAAGCAACTCAGCCAGACAACTGATTCTAAATAAAATATTTAAAAAGGGCTGGGGATATGGTTCAGTGGTAAAGTGCCCCTGGGTTCAATTCCTGGTACCAAAAAACAAAACCAAAAAACTCTAAAAAATAACAATTCCTTACTATTACTACATATGTAGCTATACAGACTAAAATTTAAAATATCTTAGGAGTCATTGTTGTTTTTTAAGAAGAACTAATACGACCATACCTCTCCTAGCTCAACTCCCCAAAATCAACTTTTGATAGCTTGGCCAGTGGTTTTGAGACAATAGACATTTCTCCAAACAAGACACAACAGTGACCAAGTGTGTATGAAAAGTGCCCAACGGTCACTAACCAGGGAAATGCAAATCAAAACCACAAGGAGCTATCACTTCACACCTGTTAGAATGGCTATCATCAAAACCTCCAGAGATAACCAGGGTTGGCAAGGGTGTGGAGAAAAGGAAATCCTCATATATTGTTGGTGGAAACATAATTGAGGTTCCTAAAGAAATTAAAAATAGAACTACCAAATGACCCAGAAATCCCTTTACTGGGCATGTACCCAAAGGAAATGAAATCACCACCTCTTAAAGATACCTGCGCTCACATGTTCTTTCCAGCATTACTCACAAGAGTCAAGATATGGAGGAAAAAAAAAAAAAGTGTCCACTGATGGACTGATGGATGGAAACATTAAGAAACTGTGATACACACACACACACACACACACACACACAGTGGAATGTGATCCAGCCTTAAGAAAAGAGCCGGTCATTTGCCACAAATGGATTAACCTGAAGTACACTATGCTAATTGAAATAAGCCAGGGACAGAAAGAAAAATACTGCAAGATCTTACATGTGGAAAGCAAAAAAAAAAAAAAAAAAAAGCTGAAAACACATACACAGAGAATTAAACAATGGTTACAGGAGCCAGTGGGGAATGGGAAAATGTAGGCCAAAGGATATAAAGTTGCAGATAGGTAAGAAGAACAAGTCTAGAGATCTAATGTGCAACAGGAGGATGAGAGTTATATTGTATTAGATTGGGGATTTTTGTTAAAAGAGACTTTAGATCTTCTTGTCACAAAAAAAAGAAGAAAATGTCATATTTTATATTTGAAATATATATATATATATATATATATATTTTTTTTTTTTTTTTTTTAAAGAGACAGTTTTAAGCATAAAGTCCAAATGGCTCTGTTCTTCCTGGCCATCTCTTCCCATAACTGACTGAGCTTGTTCATACATGTTGGGTCCTTAGATCTCTGTACTCTTAGATGACGTTATGTAGATATAGCCATGTGCTAATATGGATATATTTCACAAAGCCTCAGAGAGGCTAAACAGGGTACCATGCCAGGTATCCTCACTTTTAGCTAGATTGTATTGGCCTGGTGTGATAATCTTAGGTTCTAATTGGCAATTTCACACATTTTGGGGGGTAATAAACCTGGGAAGTGAAATAACATATTAAGTTTATGATGAAAACTCACTAAATATGGAGCTGGGGTTGTGGCTCAGTGGTAGAGAACTTGCCTCATGTGTGTCAGGCACGGGATTGACTCTCAGCATCACATATAAATACATAAATAAAATAAAGGTCCATCAACTACTTAAAAAAAAAACTCACTAAATGTTATACCTAAGATCTGGACATTGCATTGTGCATAATTTGTACCTCAATTAAAAGCTTAAAGTTGTTAGTCAAACTCTTTGAAACCTGGGAGTTAAGTAATAATAAAAACAGCCTTTAGTGGTGAAAAGGCTGGGAGCCAGCAAACAATGTCAGAAGTGTTTTATCTCCTGTTGCCTAAGGCTCTAGGCTTGCCCTCTCTGGCTTCCCTGGCCTCTGTGCTTCATTCTCTGAGCTCCTTATCTGCAAAGTAACCTTGTCTAGAACCTTGAACCACACCTCCCCCCCTTTACTGCCAACAGCCTCAGAACTCCTTGCTTTTGTTTTCATCTGTCCTCTGAAATCATGCTTGACTGTTGTACTCTGGCTCCTCCACTACAGAGCTGTGTCATTTTGAGCAAGTAGGTTAACTTCTCTTTGTCTCAGTTTTCTCATCAGTAAAATGGAAGTATGACCCATCTTGAACAGTCACAAAGATTCCATGATTTAGTCCATGGGCAGCACTTACTTTTGTGACTATGTTTCCTACTGTTGCAACCTAACCAAGACAAGTAGCTTTTCCCAGTCCTCGGTCTCTTTGAGTCCTCACCTCTCCCACCTTGCTTCTCTCTGCATCCTTCCTGGCTACTTCCTCTGCCAACTCCCTTCCTCCTCCCACCCTTAGCATAAGGATAGCTCTTAGGCCTTCTACTCTTCCTGCTCCACACATTCCAAATTCTTTCCTTTTTAGGACTTCACGATCCCACAAGGACATCGTTCAGATCTTTTTTCCATTTTATGCAACTAGGATTCCTTTGCATTATGATATAGGATCTCCCTCTTAAATACTCATTGAGAATGATCATACCACTTAACGTGTCCCGTGTTTTTTTCATCTGTAACATGAGAGGGCAGGAGGGAGAGACGATCTCTCAGGTTTCTTCCTGCTTAGAATAAAAAAAATTTCCACAAATTCTTTACCTTCTCAGGCTGCCTGCTGGACTCCACACGTGAAAAACTGACCTCACGCGCCAGCTTTTCTATGTCTGTTTAAGATAATGTACATTCTCCTGTCACCTAGATTTGAAACCTGGCTAACACTTTAATACAAACCTCCTATCTAATCAGTCACCAAGTCCTGCCAACTTTCCTTCATCCTGTCCCATCTCTTCCTCCCTTTCCTTGCAGTCCCACAACCCTCACGTGGTCCCAGTCACTCTCCTCCATTCCACCTCCCAATCCCTGGCCCTCTCCCATCTGTAGAAGACAAATCTTCCTGAAAATGAGTGTCTTGCACATTTTTCTTCCCAACTTGCCAAACATCACTGTTCCACACATCCACAGGGTGAAGTCTAATTACTGGAACCTAGAATGCAAAG